CCCCAGGCTGTCTTCTGCCCCCATTTCAACCCAAAAGTCCCTTTAATTCCCCCCCAAATCCGTTTATTTCACCCCAAAATCCACTTAATTCTCCCAAATTCCTTTATTTCAACCCAAATCCCCTCATTGTACCCAAAATTCCCTTTATTTCACCCCAAAAATCATTTAATTCCCCCAAATTGCCTTATTTCAGCCCCAAACTCCTTTTATTTCACCCCAAATTTCCTTTATTCCACCCCAGAATTCACTTAATTCCCCCAAATTCCCTTATTTCACCCCAAAACCCCTCATTTCTTCCTATAATTCCTCTTATTTCACCATAAATTTCCTTATTTCACCCCCAAAAATCCTATTAATTCCCCAAATCCCCTCATTTCACCCCAAAATTCCCTTTATTTCACCCCCAAATCCATTTATTTCACCCCAGAATCCCATTAATTCGCATAAATCCCATAATTTCATTCCAAAATTCCCTTTATTTCAACCCAAAATCATTTAGTTTCCCCAAGTTGCCTTATTTCACCCCAAATTCCCTTTATTTCTCCCCAAACTGCCTTCAGTTCCCACAAATTCCCTTATTTCACCCCAAATCCCCTCATTTTAGCCCCAAACCCTCTTATTTCTCCCCAAAATTCCCCTTATTTCACCCTAAATTTCGTTATTTCACCCCAAAAATTCCATTAATTCCCCCAAACCTCTCTTTTCACCCCCAGATTCCCTTTATTTCACCCCAAAATTCCATCTATTTCACCCCAAATCCCCTCATTTTACCCCAAGTTCCCTTTATTTCACCCCAAAATCCGTTTAATTACCACAAATCCCCTCATTTCACCCCAAAAATTGCATTAATTCCCCCCAAATCCCCTCATTTCACCCCAAAATTCCCCTTTTTTCACCCCATATTTCCATATTTCACCCCAAAAAGTTCCATTAATTCCCCAAATCCCCTCATTTCACCCCAAAAATCCCTTTAATTCCCCCCAAAATCCCTTTATTTCACCATAAATCCCCCCATTTCACCCCAAAATCCCATTAATTCCCTCAAAGCCCCTCATTTCACCCCAAAAACCTCCAATTTTGACCCCAAATCCCCCATTTCTACAAAAAATGTATAATTCCTGTCAAAAATCAGAATTTTTCCTCAATTTTGCCCATTTTCAGACCCCCTCTTCCCCAAATTGATCATTTTAAGGCATTTTTCTCCAATCATCCCTTCTAAAAATCCCCATTATTCCCCCAAAAGCCCCCAAATCCCCAATTTTCCACCCAAAATCCCCATTTCTACCAAAAATGTATAATTTCTATCAAAAATGATGTTTTCTCCCTAATTTCTCCCATTTTCAGACCCCCAACCCCCAAATTGATCATTTTGAGGCATTTTTCTCCAATCACCCCTTCCAAAAATCCCCATTATCCCCCAAAAAGCCCCCAAATCCCCAATTTTCCCCCCAAAATCCTCCATTTCTACCAAAAATATATAATTTCTATCAAAAATCATGTTTTCTCCCCAATTTCTCCCTTTTTCAGACCCCCAGTCCCCAAATTGATCATTTTAAGGCATTTTTTTCCCAATAATCCCTTCTAAAAATCCCCATTATTCCCTGAAGAGCCCCAAAATCCCCAATTTTTCCCCCCAAAATCCCCCATTTTTACCAAAAATGTATAATTTCCGTCACAAATCAGAATTTTTCCCCAATTTCTCCCTTTTTCAGATCCCCTCTTCCCCAAATTGATCATTTTGAGGCATTTTTCTCCAATCACCCCTTCTAAGAATCCCCATTATCCCCCCAAAAAGCCCCAAAATCCTCAATTTTCCCCCCAAAATCCCCCATTTCTACCAAAAATGTATAATTTCCGTCACAAATCAGAATATTTCCAAAATTTCCCCCTTTTTCAGACCCCCAATCCCCAAATTGCTCATTTTAAGGCATTTTTCTCCAATCACCCCTTCTAAAAATCCCCATTATCCCCCAGAAAAGTCCCCAAATCCCCAATTTTCCCCCCAAAATCATTTTTACCAAAAATGTATAATTTCTATCAAAAATGATGTTTTATCCCCAATTTCTCCCTTTTTCAGACCCCCAGTCCCCAAATTGATCATTTTAAGGCATTTATTTCCCAATAATCCCTTCTAAAAATCCCCATTATTCCCCGAAGAGCCCCAAAAGCCCCAATTTTCCCCCCAAAATCCCCCATTTCTACGAAAAATGTATAATTTCCGTCACAAATCATAATTTTTCCCCAATTTCTCCCTTTTTCAGATCCCCTCTTCCCCAAATTGATCATTTTAAGGCATTTTTCTCCAGTCATCCCTTCTAAAAATCCCCATTATCCCCCCAAAAGCCCCTAAATCCCCATTTTTTCCCCCGAAATCCCCCATTTTCCCCAATTTCCCTCCTTTTCACCCCCCGCTTTCCCAAAACTCCTCGTTTTCTCTTCTTTCACCCCAAATCTGACCCCCTTTTTCTCTTCCAGGCTCCCCCGGCCGATCCGAGGACGCTCTTGGCAACCCCCACCCCACCACCACCACCCCCAAAATCCCCTTTTCTCACCCCAAAAACCCGTTTTGAGGGCAAAAAAGGGTTTTTTGGGGGCCGAGCAGCGCCAATTTTTTCGCCGCCGCCAACAGTAAGTTTTGCCCCCTTCCCCCCCTTTGCCCAAATCCGACCCTTTTCACCCCAAAAGCAGCACAAGGAGGGGGGGGTGGGCCGTTAAGAGGGGGGGGAATAAAAGAAAAACAAAAACCCCAAAACGCCGCCGTTTCACCCCAAAAATCAAAGCAAGTTTTTCCCCCCCTCCCCCCCCCTGCGTTTCCCCTTTCGCTCTTTTGGGTCTTTTTCGTCCCATTTTGGG